ACTGCACAACAACTCACCTTATGTAATAGATAATCTCCTACAACTGTACTCACCCTAAAACTGTACAACAACTCAACCTTATGTGAAGATAATTTGAAGTGTATTTCTGAGACTTTATATTTCATTACTTTTTTTTATGCTACTTACTTTGAATTTATTTTTAACCATTTATATTTGGACTCTGTTACACACACACGCTCATGTCATATTCTGTTCTTATTTTCATTTTCACAATAAATTCTGTTTAAACAAAACCAGCGGAAGTCTCAGATGATGTCCTCAATTCAACTGGAGACTGAAAGTGAATGGAGCCCTCTGCTTTGGCGTCTCGGGTTTTACAGGTGGTTCACGTGCGCTGCAGGACTGAAAACTTGAGGTTAGGACTCCATCTACTGGCCGGACCGGGAATTACAAGACTATTTCATAAACCACCGTTTTTAGACTTAAACTTTATTAATCCACAAAAGAATGGTTTGGACACAGACGCCACAAAACAATATATATATAACAAAGAGGAAAAATATAGATGTAATAATAAATTCTAAATAAATTGTAAAAAAAAAAAAAAAAAAGGGCAAGAGACACGTGTGAAATTAGACAGAATTATATAAATGTAAATGAACAATCAAAAAAAATAAAAAATTGAAATGAGAGACAGGGCTATTATATTTCTATGGGGCATTAAAGAGGGGGTATCACACTTTTATGGGGCATTAAAGAGGAGGTAGAGGGGCTATCACACTTTTATGGCATTAATGGGTATTATACTTTTATGGGGCATTAGGGGGTATAACACTTTTATGGGGCATTAAAGAGAGGTAGAGGGCTATCACACTTTTATGGGCATTAAGGGGTATTATACTTTTATGGGGCATTAAGGGGGTATCACACTTTTATGGGGCATTAATGAGGGGGTATCACACTTTTATGGGGCATTAAAGAGGGAGGCAGAGGGGGTATCACACTTTTATGGGCATTAAAGAGGAGTAGAGGGGCTATCACACTTTTATGGGGCATTAATGGGGGGTATTACTTTTATGGGGGGGTATACTTTATGGGGCTTAAGGAGGTAGAGGGGGTATCACACTTTTATGGGGCATTAATGGGGGGGTATCATACTTTATGGGGCTTAAAGAGAAGCAGAGGGGGTATAACACTTTTATGGGGCATTAAAGAGGAGGCAAAGGGGTATCACACTTTTATGGGCATTAAAGAGGAGGCAAAGGGGTATCACACTTTTATGAGGCATTAAGGGGGTATCACACTTCTATGTGTAAGTGCGCTGAACTCGGCTGTGTAAAAGTCCAGCTTGGTTGCAGGAATAACCCGTCTGTCTTTCATTCGTCGTTAAGTTTATCTGTGTTGTGAATAAATGACCAGGACACGGTTCTGTCTTTTGTGGTTTTAATCTGCTCTGGTGAGGAAACTTCGGCTCAACACGGGGAGCAGCTCTACAAGGACAGCAAGTCACGTCAGCTTCTGAAAGTTCTCTTCTGTCACAACATGTGCAAAAGTCCATTATTGTGTAATAACTCAAGCAATGTACAAAATATCAGCTCATAAATGTTCTGGAGGACATAAATACGTTGTACAATTAGGCTGTGATCATATAATGAGCAATTAAACAGAAATACATGATTTTTACCGACGGAGTTAAATTCAGTGACCCACCTCGTTCTGTTATGCATAAAAACTTGTTTTAACAATGTTTAAATGTATAATTCACCTGTCTTTATAATTCTTAAGTTTCGCTTGTGTATGGTGTCATCTAGTGGACACCTCTGAAATTGCACGCAGAGCACGAACCGAATCAAACTTATTGAATGGTAGTAATGCTTATGAACAGCAGACATTACAGCAGCAGTTTGCTTTCTGAGTCGGCATTTTTAAATTTTATATTTTTATATCGCCGGTACGTTTCTACCTGTGTTCAACAACTTGTACTCGTAACTCTACTTGTTTGTTTTAATACTGGCATTGTAATATGATAATTAACACAAACCATGCACTCTCAAAACAGCGTCGGACAGTCTTCAGTGTGTGGAGTTACAACCTTGTACTGTTAAGTCTTTAATCACAGAATGCAGGTCCAACTTGAAAACACAGAAAATACACAAGGCTCAACTCAACTTGAAGATTTTTATTTGAATTGTCAGTTTCTGTAGTAGTAGTTTGTAGTTGTAGTAGTAATAGTAGTTGTAGGTTGAAAACCTTAAAATAAACAAATATGCGTAATGAAATAAATTTACATTTTACAATTTCATTAGTGATATATCTATT